AGGCTTTTTTGGGGGATCAAACAGTGTACTACAAGGCTTCCTGGGATCAAACAGTGTACTACAAGGCTTACTAGGATCAAACAGTGTACTACAAGGCTTCCTGGGATCAAACAGTGTACTACAAGGCTTCCTGTATTATCATTTTAGGTGCACATCAGTGCATAGACCTGACAGCTGTGACAGGTACAAAAGGCAGGTTCAGTCCTACAAGGATATTACATGAACATATACCTACTTCTGTCAATGGAGGGATTGTATTCTTTATTTATTGCTTGCAGTCACTGGAAACTATTTTTCTAAAAAGCAACCTCTTGTTGCCTTATTTCAGTTTGATCTTTAAATGTTACAATCCAAAAGAAACAGAAGACAATGAAACGTACAACTCAAAAGAGGTTAAGGAACTCCCTATTGATCATTTGAGTATATTCAATCAGATTAAATATACCATTAAAAAAAAGTAGGGGATATTGGTTACAAGATTGATAAAATGCAAATGATGAAGCCAAGGAGGAAACAGATGATGAAGAGAAATTAAGGGAAAATGTGACAATTTATTCCATTCCTTTGAAAATGTTTCATCTGTATGGATATATATTACTTTTTCTCATATACATTGGCATTGGCTAGTGGTACGCTCACAAAATGGAATATCCCCTACTTTTTTTTAATGGCATATATTCAGATGAAACATGAAGACAAAGTCATCAATATCCTCCGCAATGGCAAAATACTCTTCATGAATATGTCTACGAGTTATGATTATGTCAAATGTTTTGGTGTGTATATAGCTAAGTGGAAGGAGAGTACTGAGTTAAAGGTTTCAAATTTCTGCTCCAGAAAGGATCACTACCACCAAATTCAGTTGAAGCCAAAATTGTTGCCATGGAAACGCAAAAAAAATACCCATTTTATTCAGAAATCCAAAACTAGCAAAAGGCACCAGTTCACCACTAGACCTACATATGTATGAAAATTGGTGATGAAACAGTGAACAGTTTTTAAGTTCTGCTCAGGAAAAAATCACTACCACCAATTTCAGTCAAAGTGAAACTTGTTGCCATGGAAACGCCAAAAATATTTTATTCAGAAATTCAAACATACCAAAGGGCACCAGTTCACCCCCCAGATCTATCTAAATGCCAAGTTTGGTGAAGAAACATTTCACAGTTTTAGAGTTCTGCTCTGGAAAAGAGTACTAGCACCAATTTCAGTCTAAGTCAAACTTGTTGCCATGGAAACGCAAAAAATATTTTATTCAGAAATCCAAAACTACCAAAAGGCACCAGTAGACCACCAGATCTATCTATGTGCCAAGTTTGGTGAAGAAATATTGAACGATTTTAGAGTTATGCTCCGGAAAAGATGCGTACGGATGCACGGACGTACGGACGGAGTCCATTTTAATACCCCCAGCAAAACGCGTTGCGGGGGATAACATACTGGTGCTTCTTTACTTCTTTCAGGTTGTTCAGGTATTTTTTGGTGCAACGTCCTTAGTCGCTTTCTGTAAGCAAAACATCCAAAGTGTTCCTTAATGATAGGTAAGTTTACATGAAACCTTCTGGGGTTAACTGTGACCCATATGGCAATTAAGTGATGTAAGTGGCCTACTGACCTACTTGGACAAGGCGTGCCTCACCTGGACATGAAAATGTTCATTTATACTGGCAGTTGATGGGGCCAACATCACATGGACATATCAAACGTCTATATACTACCAGCCATAACATAGCCATATCTTTCAGTGCCACCCTTTGATATTGTCACTTTGAACAGAGAGTCAACACCAAAGGTTCTGAAAATAACACAGTGGTAATGATTACTAGTAATCAATGGTGATAATTGTTTCTTGGGCTGTAACAACCTGACAATAATGCTTCCCAGCTGCTGGTGCAAGGAATTGATTGACTCTCAAGGCTGTGTCATGACATCCAGCAACACTAAAATACCTTGGTACCCGCACCATACAGGTGCAACCAATTTTGTTGAATTGCAAAATTATTGAAAGTATTCTGTCGCAGTCAGTATCAGTGTGGATTTGTCATGAAAACATACACATAGCTGCATGAGCTTGAGGTTGATAGTATGAGCATTGATTAGTGAGTGAGTGAGTGAGTTACGATCTTAAGTCACATCAGCAATATTTCAGTCATATCGTGACTAAATCAAATTATGGATTTATATCAATTGAAAGTAAATTTTAATAACGAAGGACACTAAAACAACTAGATTATCACAGATATAATTTAAAACTAGTAATTAAATCTAAAATATTTAACTATAAATGACAATACAATATAAAAACAGGCTATAGATTGCCAACAACTGAAGGTAGATCACCATACTAGGGACCATGGGGACTTACAGTACATTTGCTTCCTGCATGGGCCCTAGCTGGGTTTACACCATCCCTTCAGATGTTAGCAATGTTTGACAATCTAGCCTAAGCATTGATTAACCCTATCAGGGCAGGATAACACAAAGTCCGAGCTCTCACACTTTGAAACCACCTGATCACTCTTTCAATTCATTCTTGGAGTTAGCTATCTCATTTAACACAGTCTGTACATACCAAATAATCCACAGATTGATAGGAAGGCACATACATACCTAGTATGGGCTCAGTAATTTTGTGACAATGTATCAAGTGATTACTTTACACATTTGATTGGCTAATAGATTGCTAGAAGTCAACAATAATTTGCATACAGCAGTACAAGTCAACCAGTGAGATCAAAACACATCAATGTCAGAAGCATCAATGTCTCATAAAGATCTCAATATTTAGTGTGTATTTGTTGAAATATTGCTGCATTTAGACATTCTGTGAATTGATACAAGCACATTATGATTTATAACCTCCCAGTGATGTCATGTCTGACATAATATCTCGAGGTTCATATCACAAGGTGATATCATAATATCACAGTTGATGACACTGTACAGAAGGCATACAGGAAATGATGTAAAATCAAATGAAAATTTGCTTTTACAACAATAGGTGTTGGTATGTCTCTTATGAGTACCGGTATCTGGTAAAAAATCATCAAAATAGTCTTATTGCTTGTATCATTTAACCTAAAATCTACACAAAATTCATTCACAAGTGATATCTCCCTTCGAAACTGATTAACAAGAAATGGGAAGTCGGTTTTCTCTGACAACAATGCTGACCATGACAATTTATATCTGCATGGACATTGTCAATCACTCTCAAACACTTAAAGCTCCCAATATATCACAATATGTATCTTAGTAAAGATACCTGCATTGCAATGTAATCTTTTGCCAGTACACAGCTTCAGCATCTGCCTTGTAACAGGGTGTGTTGAAGATTCAAAGCATGCCACCAGGAAGATAATAAATGATATTCCATCTTCCTGCCCATAACACTGATCAGGAAGTCTGGCAACTATGTTAGACATGTTTGCCCCTCAGTGGATAACATTACATATCACTCATCTCCATGACACGCCAGACTTCCCTTTCATGAAGCATGGCTCTGTTCTGAGTGAGTGAGTGAGTTAGTGAGAGAGAGAGAGAGAGTTTGGTTTAACACTGCATTTTTAGTACAAGTATTTCAGTAAACAGCATGTCAGCTTTCTGTGAGAAAAGCCTAAAGTGATGCAAGTTTAAGATGCTTACATCTTTGGTGAAACATGATATAACACAACATGACATGATATGTCACATAAATTCAAGGAAATGCACATTGTATATCATCAGCAGCAGCAGCATAATACTTATATTTGTACAGCGCCAATATCCAGCTCAGCTGCTTAAATTTCACATAATTTCAAGGACATGCACATTGTATATCGTACCTTGACATAAAATGTCACATAATTTCAAGGACATGCACATTGTATATTATACCTTGACATAAAAGGTCTCATTATTTCAAGGACATGCACATTGTATATCATACCTTGACATAAAAGGTCTCATAATTTCAAGGACATGTACATTGTATATCATACCTTGACATAAAATGTCCCATAATTTCAAGGACATGCACATTGTATATTATTGTCAATTAAAATGCGAGATAAGGGGTGCATTGTAAACAGCCAGCAAGCGATGTCCAGTGATTCGCCAAACAATTGGTTGCTAACTTTCTGCACTTACAATCTCGCTAATCGCTGGCTGACTTCACTTTGTTATCAAACCAAAATGGCCGCTGACACAAAATTTAATTTGAAAGCAAAACAAGAAATTCTTGACTGAATCAACTTGGAAACAGGCAAAGACAGCTAACATACCGGCATCCTTCAGTGGTGTCATTAATAATAAAACATTCACTGGTATGTCATTGAGCCTCTTCTATAGGGTCGGGGTAGCCTAGCGGTTAAAGCGTCTGTACATCAAGCTGAAGACCCAGGCTCGATTTCCCACATGGGTATAATGTGTGAAGCCCATAAATGGTGTCCCCCTCTGTGATATTGCTGGAATATTGTTAAAAGCTGCGTAAAACTACACTCACTCCCTCACTTATTCTTCTACCATAGGACCCGTGAAGGTCCGGGTTAGAATATTGGCCTTCAGTAACCCTTGTTGTAAGGGGCAACTAACGGGATTGGGTGGTCAGGCTCGCTGACTTGGTTAACACATGTCATTGGTTCCCAATTGCGCAGGTCGATGCTCATGCTGTTGATTACTGAATTGTTTGGTCCAGACTCGATTGCATCCCCATTTTAAGAGTGCACAAACACTTCAAGCTGTGGTATACCCTGGATGAGCAATTAATTTATCAGGGCAGTGGGGTAGCCTAGTGGTTAAAGCGTTCGCTCGTCATGCCGAAGACCCGGGTTCCATTCCCCACATAGGTATAATGTGTGAAGCCCATTTCTGGTGTCCCCTGCCGTGATATAGCTGGAATATTGCTAAACGCGGCATAAAACCACATGCACTCTTCTATCATAAAAGTTGCATCGCCATTTTAGGAGTGCAAAAGCACTTCAAGCTGTTGTATACTCTGGATGAGCAATTAATCTACTTACTCAACAATTCATGCAAAGCATCCAAGATGTTGCATTCTGACCCAGAGATGCATAACATCTGTTATAGCATGACGAGCTGTCCCTACTTCAAGGAGGGAGACATCGCTGCAATACCAGACATAGACACAATTTCACCAGGAAATGCAAATATGTACATATGTACTGGTATGGGATGTTTGACAATAAATATTTGGGTTAGCTTGTCATGTGTTAGTGCTTTGTATTACCAAAACAACTATTCGTGGTGGTCGACATAAAATACTTTCTAGGAGGTCAACACAGAGGCTCCTACACAACTTGAACACATGAGCCATTCTATAACTTCACAGAGCTTTGAACGGTTAATGTAAAAAAATCACCAGGCAATAAACAATATACTTTAGTGCATTGTGCTGCACAATGTAGCTTGTATTAGAGGACATGGTGAAACACCTTGCATCACACCAGCCAGTGGGTGTGGAGCCATTTATTGGACGACATCCGTACCCAGGATTGTTTGCTGGGTGAATCTCTTTGAACATGTGGACAAGGCATCCCGATCAGTTGGTCTGTGGTTTGAATCCTGTTACAAGACTGCTACAACAGGGATCAAACACTTATCTGAACTATGGGAGAGTGAGTGAGTGAGTGAGAGAGTTTAGTGTTACGCCGCTTTTAGCAATATCACGGCAGGAGACACCAGAAATATGCTTCACGCACTGAACCCATGTGGGGAATCAAACCTAGGTCTTCAGTGTGATGAGCGAATGCTTTAACCACTAGACTACCCCACCGCCCCTGAACTAGGGGAGAGTCTTAGCACATATGAAAGATTTCATTCATTCTGTATCTATCATTTTAAATTATTAAGCCTAAAGCAAACTAAAATATAGATGGGTCCTTAAGTCATTTTGGTTTTCTGCTATAGTATTTTAATTAAGGGACCCTAAATCTTTTAGTTCTACTATTAAGATTATGAAAACCCCTCAATTTCAATCTATTATCAAATGCAGCTGTCTGTATGAATGAGCAAAGAGACGAGTGAGTGAATGATGGGATATGTTATCACTAATGTCTAATCTTCACTAATGACAAATAATTTTCATAAAGTTGTTGAGACCTTGACCAGACAAACCACTGGTTGATAATGTGAATAACATCTTCTCTAGACTGACTGACTGAGTTTGGTTTTACGCCGCTTTTAGCAATATTCCAGCAACATCACGGCCGGGGGACACCAGAAATGGGCTTCACACATTGTACCCATGTGGGGATTCGAACCCGGGTCTTCAGCGTGACGAGCCAACGCTTTAACCACTAGGGTACCCAACCGTCCCCTCTTCTCTAGAGGGTCAGTGGGTACAGTTCTATCCCCCTTTATTCAAACAATATCATGGTTCTGGGAACCAGAACTGGATTTCACATTTTGCACCAATGCGGGGAACTAAACCTGTTTCTTTGCTGCGATGAAGGAACACTGTAACCACTAGGCCCGCCACTGCCTCAGTCTACCCTTGGGTACATGATACAAAGATGTCCTGAAATCCCCTGGGGGTTAAATCACAACCTCCATGAAAACACAGAATGCACTCCATCGCCTCAGTGAAGCCATAATTGGAAGTAGGGCTGCAACGAATACACTATGTGGCAAATATGATACGTATCATGAATATTGGGTAACAAATACGAATAATTAGTCACGAATACAATATTGTAGTTAAGTGATTGATGTACAATATGGAATGCCTATGTTGACAGTTTTGATTTGTCACAGCAATAACCAGTGATCCCATGACACTCAAATTTGGTATGTAATAGTTATAGTTGACAGTACCATGTGCGGCCTTGGCAAACTAACGACTTGGGCTACTGCAAGGCTAGTACATATTCCATTACTGCATATCTCACTTTCCAAAAGTACACAAGGGTTCGAGTAAAACATGCTCCCTTAAAAAAAATTGTAAATATTCGTTAATATTCAGTTCCGGTGACCACGAATAACAAATTGAATTCATGAAGGGCTGCGGTTCAATTCACCGAATATGTGAATGAATCGTTACAGCCTTAATTGGAAGTGAGATAACAAATAAGCATGAAGCAACTTACCTCGACAACTATTTGATCAGACAATAGTCAATGATCATGTGAAACAAAGTAATCCCATCCCATAAACACATCCACCTCTCATGGAAAGACAACTCTCTCTGAAGTGAAACCCTCCCAAAACAAGATCGACGAGGAGGTGTTACAAACACAGGGAACTGCTCATACAGGGAACCACAGCGTTTGGTTTCAGGTGTTATGTCAACAGGAAAGATAGCTATCAACCTATAGGACATCTGTGTGTGTGTGTAACGCCACACCAGCTTTGTGTTAGCTGTACACATGACTTGATAAGCTGCATATTTCCCTCTATGTAAAACCATGTGTTGCAGAGTCACACAAGTATCACAAGCAAGTGTCAATGGACTTTCAATTTGATTGTTACTCACAGATATGAAATTGATAGTTCCGTGACTGGCTGGCCAATCATTACCCTCCTACTGAGCTGAAAAAAAACATCTTTCAGGATGTACGCTTATCCTGGTCTAATAAAATCTGCCCCATTCAACATGAGGTCAAAACATTTCCTCAACGAGGCTTGGGAAAAATTATATACTATTAGATTTTAAACATTATTCAATTTATTGCATCATCTGTTTACTTGTTCAAGAGTTGCCCACAAAGCAATATTCCAGCAATATGACGGAGGCATAAATACTCAATTAGAAGAAAACAATCCAGTGGTGGATGTTACGAGCACCAATTCATGCCATCTTTACACTTTCCACTGTATCCACATGACTACCTCTTACAGCTCGCACAAGTTGCTTTGGAGTGAGTTAGTGAGCGAGTTTAGTTTTACACCGCTTTTAGCAACTTCCAGCAATGTTATGGCGGGGACCCCAGAAATGGGCTTCAAACTTTGTGCCCATGTGGGGAATTGAACCCAGGTCTTTGGCATGACAAGTGAATGCTTTAACCACTAGGCTACCCCACCGGCCCACAGGCTGCATTGGACCTGTTCTAAGTTGGCATCCCAATCATCCAGATCAAAGTATACAGCAATACACTGACAGCTTTAGTATTTTGGGGTACAGAAGTGAGTTTGGCTTTAAGTTGAATAAGTATACATCAGTTATATCATGATACATCGGCCTGAAACTGAAAGACATGGAAGTGAAATGATGCAGATCTTGGATGTTTACCACAAAGGGTAAGTGAGTGAGTTTGGTTTTACGCTGCTTTTAGCAATATTCCGGCAATATCACAGCTGCGGACTTCACACATTGTACCCATGTGGGGAATTGAACCCAGGTCTTTGGCATGACAAGTGAATGCTTTAACCACTAGGCTACCCCACCGGCCCACAGGCTGCATTGGACCTGTTCTAAGTTGGCATCCCAATCATCCAGATCAAAGTATACAGCAATACACTGACAGCTTTAGTATTTTGGGGTACAGAAGTGAGTTTGGCTTTAAGTTGAATAAGTATACATCAGTTATATCATGATACATCGGCCTGATATTGAAAGACATGGAAGTGAAATGATGCAGATCTTGGATGTTTACCACAAAGGGTAAGTGAGTGAGTTTGGTTTTACGCTGCTTTTAGCAATATTCCGGCAATATCACAGCTGCGGACTTCACACATTGTACCCATGTGGGGAATCGAACCCAGGCCTATGGTGTGACAAGCAAACACTTTAACCACTGGGCTACCCCACGGCCCCTTACTATAAAGGTGTAAACCCACTAGCAAAGACACTGACAAAGCTAGAAACAATCAGAATGAGCTGAGATTCAAACCCATAATCCGAGGTTTATCTCATGCCTAAGGGACATAACTTGTACAGAGTGTTGTAACAGCCCCCGAGGACCTGATGATGCACTTGATGTCAAGTTTCAAGTGGGACAATCACGTTCATCTGCAAGATGTCTTTAAGGGCCTTTCAAGAGCAGAAGGTCAGCTTGAACTTCAATATTTTTTGCAGCATTACATGTCTCTCTGAATAACATATTGTCACATTTCAAGCAGTCTATACCGACATACATGTAAGTATTGTCAGCTCGTCAGAGCAGTTGTCGCTGTCCCATCATGTGTTTGCCATACCAGCCTTGACCAGTATTCATAAACACACACACTTATATTGTTATCATGTTTAGAATTCTCGCATCAGTCACCATCATCATCCACTTTTCTGTGTTTCAGGAAGAGATTTCTCACTCACAAGCGGTGCCTGGCCATACTGACTTTTGCATAAAATATGATACCCAAGTATGCAGACATTATGACCTTCAAATATGAGCAGTGATAATAACATCAAAGCACATAGCTGCCAATATCCCACAGTATGTACCTCAAAACAGATACCTGTATTGAAATTGTCAAGACATGGCCCCATGAGTTAAAATACAGCCTATCAACCTTCAATGTTTCTTCTTAAGGAATAATTTGTCTTTCCAATGAGCATATAAAAGAACAATTTCTTTGGTTGCTTGTTGGTAGGTTAGTTGTTTAATGCCACACTCAGCCAAATTCCAGCTACATGATGGCAGTTAGTACATAATTGCATCTGGACCAGACAATCCAGTGATTGACATGAGTATCAATCTACACTGTTGAGATATGATCACAGGAATCAAGTCTAACTCAGCAAGTCTATACACCCTGTGCCATTAGTCACCTCTTAGAGGTGAGGTGAAATTGGGTTTAACGTTGTGCATGAGAATATTTTGCTCATATGCCGACATGCATGCGTGTGTATGTTAGTGTTGGGAATTGGTTGAAATCTCACAATTGATGATTGTTTCATTACCAACGAACAATCATTGAAAAAAATTTGGTTAGTGTCATTTTTCAGATTTTCCTATCCAGGTTGTTATTGCAGATATGTATAACATGATGCAACTTGCTACTTTAGAGTGATGACTAATATATCATGATCATAAACTTCCTGGAGTCTTCAAGAAATATTTCGTCATGCCTTTTCAGTTAATGAAGTGAGTTTTCAAAGAATTGAGCAAGTTTTCAGGCCCTGACAACTTCGAAGATATGTTCCATCGTCAAATGTTTCAAAGACTAA